TAGATTTGGCATATGAGCTCCGATTGGATTGCATAATACCTTTTTGAAAAAGGAACGATGCCATGAGTTCAACTCACTACTTAGCTGTGATATAAGGTGGATTTTAAGCTGCTGAGATCGTTTGGGCTTCCAAAAGAGCATTTAAAGATTGTAATCAATTTACAGACTTTTCGTTTATTTGTTGTTAAGCTTTCAATAACTCCACAGGGCAGTCCAATGGGTGAGAATGATGTATTTAGATATCCGTTGTGTATGGTTGGGCTCAACTCATTTTTTATCAAATAATACAAACAATGAGAATTTTCTCTGTAACTTTCTGGTGGATTCCAAGTTTATGTTCTTTTCAAGCTTACGCTTGTTGTAGCCTATTTGCTTGTGCTGCGTCAAGTGGTCCTCAAACTTGTATCCCATTTACATTTTGATCCATAAACTAAATTATTCGTTTAAATGGTCCATCAACTCTATATTATTCCGTCCATTAGTCATACTGTTACATTATGGCGATATTTCCATTAAATATGAGGGCAAATTGGTCATTTCGTACATTAAAAAAGAAATAAATACTCAAAAATGAAATAAATCTCTCTCTCTCTCCACCTTAGGCCCCATGAACCCAGAACCCCAATGCCTCCCCACCCTCTACCTGAGCCAGCAACTAAATAAAAAAAGAAGAAAAAAAAAATCACTCACATACCCGCCTCCTAATGAACCCAGAACCCCAACTCAACAGCCACCCAAACCCTCTCCCCCTCCCCCTCGATTTCCCTTTGTTGTTGAGAGACAACCACCCACCACCCTCCTCCCTACCTAGCAACTACCGCTCATCCACCAAAAAATATTCTCAAGACACCAAAAAATACAGCCACACCCAACCCACCCTCCCAAATTCCACTATAACAGAATCCCCACCCCACAAACCCCTCCCCCCTATTTATACATTTTGTTTTTCACCCACAAACCCTAAACTCATCATTGCAACCAACCTACTCTGCAAACAATGTTCGAATTTTTTGTTTTTTGTTTTCCAATTTGTTGGTTCTTGAATTTGCACAGAGAGAGAGAGAGAGTGCGGGTGTGTGAGAGCGAAGAGGAGAGGGGGAAAACAGAAGGGGAGACCATGGGACTAATGAACCGAATAATATAGAGTTGATAGACCATTTAAAAGAATAATTTAATTTAGGGACCAAAATATAAATCGAGTATAAATTTGAGAACAATTTGAGTAAATAACCCAAATTTTTATTACCACTTTAATATATGTGTTCCCTTCCCCGCGTCTTTACTGTAGGCCACGACAATTTTTTCACCAAATCTGGACCACCAATGAAGCATATTAACAAGTAGAAAGTCAACAGCGAATCAAACAACCCCTGAAATGACGAAAAGATCCTCTATCCCTACCTCAGCTAACGAAAGAGAACAACTTGAGAAAAATGCAAAGTCTTTATAGGGTTAGAGTTCTAAAACTTTAGTTAGCTCAGTTGTTTCCCCATCCACATAAATTGATATATATGTTCCATATTGGGGCATTACATAGGTTTTCTCATAACTAAAAGCTCGGCTTTGTACACTCGCAAGCAACACACGGAGGTTTTCTCTTGGGTTTCTTGGAATTTGTGTCTGTGGTCATTGGATTTGAGCTGTTGGATTGATCTTGATCTGGGCTTTTGTGCCCTGTGGCTGGTCAAATCCATGATCATCAGCGTCCCATGGACCCCTCTCCAGTGCGAACCACTCAACCTCTTGATGAAGAAGATGAGTGGGGTATGACTCTTCGGCATCTGTCTTTTTTGTTTTTCATCTAGTTCCCTTGTTTGGTTACTGAGAAAATTTTCTGAAAAGTGAAAAAGAAGGAGAAAAGCTCGAATCTTTTTGCCTGATTTATGCGGGTTTTTGTAGTTTTGCTAAAATCAGCTTAGACTAATCCACTCATTGTGTTATGCACGTTTCTGGTGCATTCGGGCATTGATTTCTGAATGATTTGGTTATGTTTATTTTTGTTACGAAATGGAAACCAGAAGCAGCTTTGTTAGTATTAGATGTGGGTTTGGCATGGCAATTTGAATTGGTTAGCTACATAATTGCCTACAGGATCAGTAACTTGGGGATTATTTTGTGTCTTGTGAGTATTGCTACCATAATTGGAATGATTTTCTTTTTAGTTTCTCTTCGTGTTGGTGTGAATGGTCTGATTGTGAATTTGCAACAATGTTATGAATGCGGGTCGAAACTTGGCTCATTTACTTGATAGGATTTTCTAATTTTCATGCCATATTGTTAAGGAGTACCATTTTGACTCAGTTACTATGGATTTCATATCAGTCTATGTATTAAAGATCTGGGAATGGGCTTGCAGTTGCATTATAAGCTGGGGGGTTTTTTTTTGTGTCACTACTGGTTGGTGTAATTTGAGGACAGAGTTTGATCCGAGATGCAGGTAAGTGCTGGGCTTAAAGTGATCATACTTCATAATTTGATCATGCAGGTATGTCCAAATTTTTTTTTATCAAAAACCCAAGTGTTTCATGGGAAAAATCACTTGGAAGTGCTTATATAACCCAAAAATACTTGTAAATTATTTTTTCAAACGATATCTGAACTGCATATTGGGTTTGTGTGACAGATTACGGTTGATTGTAATGTAAGTGTCAGCAATGCAACACACCTTCTGAATTCATTTGATGTGCATTTAATTGTTTTGGTATTCATGTATGACTGTTTCTTGCATTAGACACTGATGGATTTGTGATTCCGAGCTTGGTTATTGAAGACCAAGATAAAAGTAATCATGATGCTCCAACAATAGAAGCCTCAAAACCCCCATCTCCAAAGGTCAGTTGCAAGTGATCTAGCTAGTTCCTTGTATGTGGTAAAAGAAAAAAGAACACATTTGAACCCTAATGGCCTTCATAAAGTCTTAATTCTGAAACCTTGCAACTTCTTATTTATTGAAGGTTGTCTTCTTTTCAGCAGGCCAAAGGAGAAGAGAAGATCTACTTAGGACCGCACGGGGCTCCCCCTTCGCAATCAAAGCAGCAGCAAGAGGTAAACCCTTCCAGCCGTAAGCAGAAGTTCAAGCAGAAACTGAAGGAAGCAGATAGGAGAAGTACCGGGACAGGTCGAGAGAACAAGGTGGAGAATCTGCGAGAGCTTGTGGGCGGTGGGAAAGGAAGCAGCAGCATGGCAAAGGATTCTAACAGGGATTGGCTAGACCCTCACTGTCATGAGTCGCAATTTGAGAAGTGGAACACTCAGTGATTGGAGTATCTGATATCTTACAATATTCAAGATACTTGAATTTGGCACCCATTTTTTGGTTTTGATCTTTTTGGATCTCTGGAGACATTTGAGGCCATGTATCTTGACAATAAAATTTTAGTTGAAGCTTTCACGATTATTGCAGAAATTATCATAAAAGAATTTGGCTGTTTGAATTCAGTTATTTGTTTGCCCATGGCATCCCAAGAATGTATGCATATATATTATGTACTGGGTTTCTAGGCTGGCTTCACAGAGCAACGATTACCTCCCACTCTTAGCGGTGGAAGGATAACAGGTCGGTGTCACTTGGATGGATCCACAAAGGGTTGGTTTTTTTTTGGGGGGGTCAGTCAGCGACATACAAGGTTAATCTGCAGAGCAGAGTGGCTCAGTGACATATACGAAGCTAAGAGCATCCATAGTGGGGAAGCTAAGAGCATCCATAGTGGGGAGGTGTATGTTAAATATACACCCCGAGTCACCGGAATCGTCTCCAATGGGGAGATGTAAATGGATGTAAATATACATCACCACCATGGGGATGTAAAATAAAATGTATATTTACATCTATTTTTACATTCCTTGCAGGCGGGACCCACCCGAGAAAAGAGAAGAAAAATGAAGAAAAGTCAACATAAAAGGCTGGGACCCACGGCTACACCCCCGAATTTACATCCCCCATTGGAGCAAAAAATATATTTACACCCCCGGAGGTGTAAAGGGGATGTAAAAGTGGCTTTACAACCCCGAATTTACATCCCCCTACTATAGATGCTCTAATAACTTTACTACATTGCGGCTCGATGGATTCAGCCAAAAACAGTGACGTATTCGAATCAATGGATTTAGGATGTGTTTGGTTGGTGGGAAAAGGGGCTTGAGAATGAGACTATCATGAATAGTGATTGTAGTCCCAAAACAGATGATGTGAACCTTGTGCAAACCCAATTAAAAATTTAAGAATCCTCTATATACATAGTTCTATTTCCCAGCATAAAATTTAATGTCTATCAGAATGAGAATAAAACTAATTTCAAATGCTGAGAACGTATTAGGAATCGTTTGGGAGTGATTCTATATAGGTCAAAAAATTACTTTTATGGAGAATAACTTCTTCATATAATTGCTTGAAGTGGTTTGAAGTTATTTTATGAAGAAGCAATGGTAGGTACTTCTCCCCATAATCACGCAAACGCACTTACAGTGATTATAGAGAGAAGTGATTATGGCGTAGAGCCATAGAATTCGTAAAGAGCACAATGCCCGGGGGACTATTACCTTGATAGACTAGCATGTACAGAAAAAGGATGGAATTGTAGAGCCACAGAATTCGTTAAGAGCACAATGCCTCGAAATTGATAAAGTAAGATAAATAATCGTCTCTAATGAAATTATGCTTTTTGCCTGTAAAAAATAATGTAGTCTTAGGAAAATGTAATACAAATCTATTGAGTGGTAATTCTGCTGTAATGTTGCTGCTTCAGAAACTACTATCTTCAAAATTTCAGAACCTTCAGATGGATAAAGGGTTGTATCTATGCAACCAACCCTAAAAATTAACTTAGTACTGGTTCTATCTTTGGATGAATGTAGAGGAAAACGGAGAATCCCTTGGCGGGTACATATTTCATCCAACACCCAGGAACTCTAATCCGCTAGCCGAAGGTGTCAAACCATATTGAGATAGATAATCAGCACTGAAAAATTTGCTCAGATGTCTCATCCCACTATCGCACAAAATAGTCACAATTGTGTGACCAGGACCAATTGACTGTGCCGCTCGGACTGCTCCAATACAATTCATGGCTGAAGAACTCCCCAAAAACAGCCCGTCATTCTTCATAAGAAACCTGAGGTTTAAGCGTAAAATGCTTAAGAACTAAAACATTCTTGCTTGAACATTACTGAACGAATGAAAGAAAGTGGGATTTTCCATCTTACATCAACTGGTACATGATTGAACATACTCAAAATACTTGTTTAACTAATTATTTGGAAAAGGAAAATATACTAGACACAAACCCGGAATCAGAGGATAATGACAAAAAATCATTTTCAACTACTTCCATTTTCTGAACCTCCCAGCATCAAGAAAGAACTATGAAAATGTGATTTCTGAGAACAAGAGTATGGACCAACCTGGACATTTCAACAGCCTCCTTATCTGTGCCTCGGAAAGCCCCATCAAGTTTTGCCATCATAAAATTCTTTGTTATTCTATTGATTCCAATTCCTTCAGTTATCGTGTCAAACGGATTCTTTAGCCTTTGTCCTTCAGCCTCCTCTCTGGTGTACATCACTCCCCTCGTAACTTTATTGAATAAACCGGAACCAGGAGGATCTATTAGGAAGCACTTAATGTTTGAATTCCTTTCCTGTTGAACACAAAACAACATTGATTAATACAACTATATTTTAAAAGAAGATGAACAAAACAATTTAAGATGGGAAAAGTAGCGGACCTGGAGAAACTTAGAAACACCAGCCAGAGTACCACCTGTTCCTGCTCCCGCCACAAATACATCTACATTTCCTCCACTCTGTTCCCAAATCTCAGGCCCAGTAGCCTCATAGTGGGCCCGGAAGTTTGCCAGATTTTCAAACTGATCAGCAAAGTAACCACCTGTACAATTCCTTGAAAACAAACTTTGTTTCTCTTCATCATATTGGAAACCATTAGTCTTCTCGGTGGTGCCATTGGCAACGCCCCTCTGATTCGCATCATCTTTTCTATGCTTTAATGCAAACTCATTTGCTTCTGATGCCCGTCGCTTAGCAACATTGACAAAGTGGTCTCTGTGTGTGATTGACACTGGCCTTACCCTTTCTACAGTGGCTCCCAGGGCTTCAAGTATTTGAGACTGGAGAAAAGGATGGCACAACAGAAGCAAAATTTAGTACAGAGCAGAACATAATGTTTATTTTTGAAAGGGAAAAATAACTGGTGGGAGGGATGTCATGCTTTTTGGTACTGGGGGGTTTCTGGTGTTTGCTCATATCAGACACCCCAAAAGTACCTGTAGCTGATACATGGTCCATTACTCCATGTTGCTAATCCAAAATGCATTCTCTAAATACCTTCTCAATAGCAACATCATCAGGTATAACCACGTGGCATTTGCAACCATAAGCTGGAGCAACAGTAGCAAGGCTAATAGCTGTGCTTCCAACACTCCCCTCAGTGACTACTCCACCTGGAGCAAGGTCTCCAGATTCCAAAGCCTGTATAGAACCCAAAACCAGAACACACGTGACTCAAAAGACCGACCAATTATGGTCAACAATGTATTGCAACTGATTATCTAAACTACTAATAGGCAAGAACAATATCAAAAAAGATAAATTTGCCTAGTTCATTTACACGAAAGCAAATTCAGAAGCTACAATCTTATGTCAACTTAAATGCTACAAATTATGTATCACCTGCAGAGAAAATATGTACAATACCAAACTTACGGACCTTTGTATATTCTTAATATTTGGATAATTTGACAACAAAAGTAGCACGGTAAATCCAAAGTTCGTTTCTTCAACAAATGTACGACTGTTTGAAAAGCATTAACAAGATGCTCAGGAAGGAAGAAAAAAAGGAAAAGAAAAAGAAAACAGAGTTGAAATTATGTGAACTTATATACGTTCAACAAATTCTGCGTTTCAGAGAATTATCTATTCTCTAAGCTATGTAGTGGTACCAATTACACATATTCTAGGAATTAACTTCCAATACAGAACCCCCACCCCACCCCCCAAACAAAGAAAAACACTTGAGATCCTAGAAGAAACGAAAGAAGCTTACCTCTTCAATGATTTTCACAGCAACTCTGTCTTTTACACTCCCTCCTGGGTTCAAAAATTCGCACTTGCCAAGAATCTGAACAAACCCAAAAACAAAATGAATAAACCATCCAAAAAAATATGGAATTAAACCTTTTCCAATCACAGGGAGATGAAACTTACATTAAAATGGAAATTTAGATAAAACCCATCATCATGTAATTGATACCAACAAAAATAGTTCAAAAACCAGAAGATAAATGCATATGTTAAAGTAAGAGTTTGAGAGTAACAATTAAAATTAAAGGAAAACCCAGGAAATTTTTTGTTGTTGAAGAAAGTCGAGAAAAGCTTACTTACTTCACAACCGGTCGCCTCGGAGAGGCTGTTGATGCGAATGAGTGGGGTGTTTCCAATGGCACCAAGGAGGCCATTTCTGGGATTTTTCTTTGAGGGTAGCTTTTTAGAGGAGGGCTTGGACTTGTAGAGGAAGAGAGAGAGCAACGCCATGGTCACTGAGATTGCTGCGACAACCGCGCCTGTGGTTCTCACAGGCGCCATTGTGGCGGGTCGAACCTCGGCACAGGGCCAAATCTATATTAGTTTATTTATTTATTCACTGATCAAGCACCCGCCAGTTGACGAGAGTATAGGATTAGGAAGGAAGAGAGAGACGAAGTGTGGTGGTATATCGTATATGAGGAGAGAGAAGCCAGTTAATTAGTTGGGACATTTTAGAAAAAGCAAAAGGAGAGAAAAAAATTTTAAAAGAAGCAAAAATGGACAAAAATGCCCTTATTTATTTTTAGATTTCCTAAGGAATCCAATACATTTGCATGTCTTTCATTTGAAAGTTGAGCGGTTTTTTTGTCTTTTTTGAAAAAGCTTTGGCTTTTTCCAAAAGTGAAATTTTTTTTATGTATAAAACCTAAAAAAACCTTAATTTTTGTAGTTCATGTTCATCTCGGTTGGGGATTTCTTTGGTTCTCTTTGGGCTTCTTCACCTGACCAAACCCAAAATATCATATATTTTAGCCCAATTTCTCTCCAACTTAAGAAAAATAAGGGGCTAAAATTTGAGAAAACTCAAAAGTTGGACGGAATACCAGTCCAGCTATTGTTTGGACTGACTGACCAAAAAAAAAAAAAAGCTATTGCCTGGACTGGAATTTTTTTTTACGCAGCCTCTAAGTAGGGATGGGCATCTCATCTGAATTATTCGTGTACTGAGGCTTTGGTTGTTAAATAATTATTTTTTAATTTTAATTATTTTGATTCGATATGTACCGAGATGTTTGATTTGGTTAATAAAAACAATATTCATAACCCGACGGAAACTCGTACTGTTTCGATATTTATACTTATTTTATTATTTAAATACAAAACAAGAAACCAAAGGTAAATACAATCAACATTTTGTATCACTCATTTATCACTGTTGAATCACTTCTTTATCATCATTGTATCACTGCTTCATCACCATCGTATCACTTCTTTATCACTCGGGTATTGTAGTACTTTTTGGTCATAAAGGAATTTATGAACTTCCTATGTTTTCTAGTTTCTACATTTGTCCCCTTTTTTACTTATAACTTTCCAACCGTTGATCCAAATTTTATGTTCTTTAGAGCATCCACAATGATGCTCTTTATTTCTTAGCTAAAATTTAGCTAAAAATATAAGAAATCTATTTTAGGAGCTCTCTAAAAAATTTCAACTCCAACCATACTCCCTAATTTG